TAATAATAACAACAATAATAATAATTAGAAACATCATAATAGAGGTGAAGAAGTCAGCAGATGGCAGAGAACACAGATGGTTACATGCCTGCTGACAAGGCTTGGTACTGTGACAGTACTGGCATCTGCAGAATCCCCACAAACACATTCACACACACACACAAATTAAGAGGAGTGAAGAGCTGACACAGTCCCACACACTGCTCCAGCCCTGTGGTGAGTCAGTGATGTGAATCTCCAAGAACACGGTACTGTTGTGCTCGGATATATCGACTGCTCACGGCTCGTCGCTTTTACTAAAAAAAAACATCACTGAAGGTTTTAAGCTCAGATGCTTAACTGTTGTGTTTCTTAATTACATACAACCCCAAATTACAGCGCAACAGTAACAGCCATTTGGAGGCGTGTTTGTGTCCAACCGATGAATGGTAAGTCCAGTATTTTGTCTCTTTTTTTATCTGTTTTTAATGCAAACCTGTCCCAATTCAAATCTGTTTTTAATGCAAACCTGTCCCAAGGGAGATGTCCAGCATTTTAGCCAAATGCAGGCTGGAGGGAACTCCAGATTCAGGTTATAAATCTTTTTTTGGTTTCTTCATCATTACGTAAGGTCTGTCATCATATTACAGATAATCATATGATGTACTGTTGTATTAGTAAAGGTAGTGGCACATCTTACACATGCACTTTGTTGTATATTACTTCTACCACTACATTACCATACCATAATGCCACCATTTATTATTACTGTATCTGATTATTAAATGGTACATCACACACTGTTGTATTCCTATTAATTCTATATAAAAAGATACATCTTAACTGCTGTTTAAACTATGTGTGAGCTGACATTATTGAACATGTAACTCGCTTTCAAAAACGCCCTGAGAGTCCACACATTCACTGCCTCATGTAGCCAAGCAGGATAGAATAGTGCACGTGCGCAGTGTATAGGCTACACGATCACCACACCACTAGTTAAGCTAGTCTGGCTGCCCAAAAATGCAGTAGCAAAGTTAAAAATGAGTGAACAACACGCACCAGGAGACAAAATACAAACATCAGCTCCGTGGTTTACACTGTTAACTGCTAGACGTGGATTGTCCTCACTCACATGGAAGTATTTTGACTTTGAAAAGATGGACTGAAAAATGGAATGTAGAGAACTGGCTGCTGTAAAGACAACTGGACAGCTTGTTTCATCCTCTGCTCACTAACCACTGCACAGAATATGAAAAGCAAACACACACAGCAAAGTGTAGCGGATTCATTCTGCAAAAGTAATTTCAACGTTTGTGTACCGTTTCAACTTAATGCTCCAATTTTAAGTCAACAAATAAGAGCTGTTTTCTTAAATATGTCATTTCCATTAATATCGTTGGTAAGCAGCATCAACATCCTATTAACAAGAGCGACCTTGTACAATATAAGACAAACATATTCCTGAAGGATGCAGAACATTGTCTGCTTATCATTTATAGACAAAATCCTCCAAATATCCAGATATCAATTTTGCCAATATTGCACACCCCTAATTCACATTTGGCACAGTCCACTGTGTGGATACGATTACACACCCATCACTGTTCACTCCGTAACCCATAATGGCCAAGCAAAAACATGATTTTAGGATTTTTTACAAATGTATATAAACAATAAAATCAAAAACTCTTTATACTAAACAGTATACACACCATGGCTGTCAAAGGCTCACCGGATGACTTGTAGATTTAATTTATTTGCAATATTTGCAGATTGATAGTAAATAATTTAAGGTATTTATTGCACTTTGTCATCTCACTCATTTCCTTATCTTCTTATTTTATTTGTATTTATTTCATTCAAAGTTAATGTTTAATCACTAATACCTGGATATTTGACAACATCACTGGAAGTAAAACGAGCAGTCTGACAATCCCACAGGTTGTAAACAAATCCCCAGGGAATAAATTTGTACCATAAGAATGACAGCCGCTGTCAGGACAACACACCCCTGTATCACACACAATTACTTACATTGTCAGCCACGGGCAACAGAGCCAGGTTCCTCTGGACTTCATCACTGTTGAGGGCCAGGCCCATGTAGTCTCCCAGCTCCTCCAGATTTGGGTACAAGGCTGGGAGATGGGAGAGACAGGTGGAAGGAGGAGGAATGGAGGTATGGCGAGCAGATGGAGGGACAACAAACAGGTGGGAGAGATGGACAGGTGGTTGATAGGAGAGAGAGAGAGAATGTGGAGATTTTAAAAAAAGGTGTTTTCATTTACAGTATATAATGAATACATTAGTGTACCTTAAACCTCCACCTCCATCCAACACCCAGGATTTCTACAGCACTTTCCCTGAATTGCACCAAAGATCAGCTGTTTAGTCTCCATCTGAGTTTTGTGTTTGGTTTTCACAGGTGTGCAAACTCATTTTTGCTGATCTCATTCTTTATTTCCAATCTTTACACTTTATATTTTATTCATGCTGTCCATCACAGCAGGGTCATACTTGAGACACACTGAGCTGTCTACTGGAAGACTGCTATAGTGCAGTGAAAGTTTCCTGGCATCATGGTATATGATCCTATACTTGTAGAGAGCTTTTCTAGGCATTGCAGCACACTCAAAGAGCTTTCACGCTATTTGCCCATTCACCCATTTGCGCTCCCAAGCACTCACACATTCACACACCAGTGACATCACCAGGAGCAAATGAGGGATCAGTGTCTTGCTCAAGGACACTTGGACATGTGGACTGGACAAGCCGGGAATCAAACCGCCAGCCTTCCGGTTAGGAGATGACCTGCGATGCCTCCTGAGCCACAGCTGCCCCTGCATCAGTATCCATTTCCTTGCTTTGACAGAAAGGCCTTGTGGTCTGTGTGTTAGCAAAAGCCTTCCTTCTGTCTTCCTCTTCTACCCATTTAAATATTCCAAAGATATTTACATAAACATCAAAAATGTTTTTATTCCTTATGAGTCATGAGGTCGTCAGCTGGTCAGGCAACTCAAACGTTGAAGAAGTAATACCAGTGTATTACCCAAACTTCTCTGTTGGTTTCTAAAACACCATTACATTAAGATACTATTATTAAGATAGTGTTAGGATTAAGTTTGGTCTCCTGTTTTACTGTCTCCTGTCCAGTTTCTGTTTGGTCAGTGTCTACCTACTTGTCCCTCTTCGTGCCTGCCAGCATGACTGTATTACTTTTCTGGCAACAAGTGCTTCACGTTGCCCTTGTAAACAAGCAATAGTCATTACATTTATTCTGGCAGCGCTAACATAAAAGACATGCAAGGGAGGCAGTCAGAGGTAGGAAAATAAGCATAAGCTAAATCAGCCAGTGGCTCCAAAGTGGCATACAGTTTTAGAATTTACTGTGGGTGTATCCAAGTGCTCCTGTTACTTTGGTTCATGGAAACATAGACTGGGTGAGGTGGGATAAAGATCCACGGGTGTGGTGATGAATAAATACATTCTCAGCCAGTCACATCACATCTCACATGTGAAACAGGTACACCAATCACAGCAATACAACAGCCAACCAATAAGAAAACTGCTTCTCCATTATATGATATTGTTATATCGAACAATACAAAGCACCACAAATGTGTTTTTTAAACAGTTAATTAGTACAATGGTGATAGAAACAAATTATTAAAACATATAACACTACCGTATCTCACATTGTGCATGCTTACATTATAGCTTAAACTGTGATTCAGCACTGTAATGCATTATGAGACAACAATAAACCTAACGTTTTAAATAGATTAATGCACCCTGGTGATCTCTGGTGATGTCTCCACACAAAATGCAGAGTCACAACGGACCATTAGACTGGTGCTGCATCAAATAAAGATGGGATTCTGGGACATCAATTCTCAGTGCAAAGTCTAAGAATCAACTGGCTTTAGCCACCTTATTTGAATGAAGCTCCCCTTTCATGCCTCCCCTCTCACCTGTGCACCGTGCTGGCCACCAAAATACCACACAAACAGGCAAAGCAGACAGAGTGCTGCTCGTGCTGTTCAGTATAAAAGAACTTGTATGGGTGTGGTGAATACAAGAGTGCTAATGGCCATGACTTAATCTGAGTGAGGTTTCCTTAGTCAAATAAAGGTTACGTAACACTGTACTTCTCCATCCAAGACATTAGTTCCACTATTACAGTGTGTACCATTTTCATTTGGACTCCTTAAAGATCTGAAAGATACTGTGATTCAATAAAACCTCTTCTACACGTGACTCAATAAATTAGATATTACCCAGATCAGCCCAGTTCTCCAAGACACAAGCCCCTTTTAAACAGAGATCATGGAAAACTGCTGGTGTTTTGACTCTTCAATAAGGCAGCTTTATTGATTCAAGTGCCTTTTACACCGAACCTAAAAAGGCCAGCAAACCGCCGCTCCTCTGTTCTGTGTCTGATTTACACAGGTGCTGGAATCCCGGTACTAGAGGCGTGATGCTTATCATGAGGTCCGATGGTCCATGAACTTGGTGGCCAGTGAATTTCATTTTAAAAACAAGACAACTAGACTGTTATCTGATTTTGTTTGATAGCCTATATTTAAAAATGGAAATCAGGAATTACAGTAGGCTATTCGTGCCTCCAAATTCAGATCAGAGTCAACAATTAGTGAAAAATGTGTTTTATAAGTCAGCAGTCAGCGCATTTCTAAATCAACAAAGTAGACTGATTCTAATATGATAAATCTACTGTGGGAATCAACACTTCCCCCCAAAAGTGTCAGATGAACACAGATATAACATGAATTTTCAAAGGGACATGAAAAGCAAAATGGGTTAATAACTCTAACAAACATCACTCCTCTATATTACAGAAACATCAAGCTACTGCCTCATTAAAGTGGAGTCATTACTTCTATCAGTATACCATTCAGTGAATTTCTTTGTTTCAACACTGACTGTGCAATCAATGATTGTTCCATATGGACTAAAGTCAACATGGTCTGCGTCAGACACTTCAGCCACATATACAGGAAGAGAAAGGAACATGCCCACATGCTGGCCAAACATAAAAAGTACTAAAGATAAGAAATAATAATGCAGATCATGATTCACCCTGCACTCCCACACTAGGCATTAAAAAAAAATCCATTTGGTTATTTCAGAAATGTAACAGCATCTGTCCCCCTCTTTTTTCCTTCACTTTTCATGCTCTGCTGTTTTATCGCTGTCTTTGTCATTCACCTCTCCCACATATTCCTGCTCCACATTTACCCACATGGGTGAATAAAACAAAATATAACTATTGATGACTTGAGAGTTATCTCTACCCTTTTATTCAATGCAATACCACTTCACTGTTCCTGCAATTTCTCCCTCAACTGACCCCTTTACCATCCAATGTGTCTCATCAATGCTTTAAGGAAGTCAAATTACAATTAAAATAACCTTTCCCCTTTAAAATACAGATACAGTATTTACGAATTTTATTTTTCTAATAACCTTTCCCCTTTAAAATACAGATTCGGGGTATTTACGAATTTTATTTTTCCGACAAGGATGATAAAAGAAACCCTTGAGAGGAAAAAAAGGTCGTGTTTTTATCAATTTGAATGCAATTCACAGCATTAGCATATCTGGCTAGGCAGTGGTCCAGGACTGATGTCAATCAGGCCATCTCCTTTCACCCCCCTCTCTGCTTCTCTCCTCACCAGGAGAAGAAACTCCTCCCATCTCTCTGTCATCCCTCCTTTACAAATCAGTTACTCCTCCTCTCCCTTTCTCCCATCATGCCCCATCCCAGGGCAACTGCCAGAGCCAGTCTCCATGGTGACTCCCAGCTAGCTCTGCTGAGGCACAAACAAAAGACCAAAAGCCCACAGGACTTTGCATCCAGAGGAGAGAGAAGAAGAACAAGTGGGAGAATGGGAGGGAAAGAAAATAAGCAGAAAACCTGTGTTCCCTAATCTCTGAAAGGCCCCCTACTCATCTTCTACCCAATCTTTTGTGGATGCCTCAACCTTCCCTCTGAGTTTAGCTCACTGCAGAGTCCAGGCCTATTTTCAAACTAATTCAGAAAAGCATAAATCCTTGAGCAGAAAAACAATGTGGAACACAAAAATACAAGAAAAGAGAGACTAATCATATCCAGTGTGGCAGGCCAATTTAGTCCTGTTATTGTCAAAGGCAACATAACTGCTTCTCCCACTCCAGTCCTCTTACTCCACACAGATTTAACCGCTCCTAGTACTGTAGTTCTTCTGTTCAAAGAACCACAGACCACCTCCATAGTGACACCACTCTCCAGCAAAGAGAAATTAAGTTACAAGGAAAACAGGTGAGGGCCCTACTACTACATGCTAGACAAAGATTGTTGGTAAATTCTGATGAGATTAGACAAGTCTGTAAAACAATACAGGTATATAATCCCCCTGAACAACTCACTTGATGACGGCATCCCAGCAATAGCAGAGTGAGGCTGGTATGCTCCCTCGGTGATGGCTGGCATCGGGGCAGTAGTCTGGGCAAAGTGGGCCTGGGCCTAGAAAGTAATTACATGCAACAGTCAAGCAGAAATGCTTGCAACTGTCACCTAGTGCAATACAAATGAAATGAGTTTGTTGAGGAAACATCAGTCTTCATTAGAAATGCATGTCCTTTAAAAAAAGGTATAAAATCTCAAGCCTTGAATTGATGTTTTTAAGAAGAGTATACCTCTATATAATTCAAAATTTAAGTGTATTGTGTACCTAAACAATATAACTGCAACAAATTACACTATACCTTCAGTGACATTCAAATGTGGTGCTAAAATGACATTAATGACAAGTAAACTGAACTCTATGTGTAGAATCGATAGTGTATCTCTTTACTACCAGTCATAAAATTAAGAATCATATCAGATTAGATGATTCTTCCTAAATTCAGTTCACCCTAATACCCTTACCTTGATGACCTTGTCGACTTTAAGGTCCTCGAGGGATGGATACAGGGACATCCTGAGGAGAAAACACAACCAGGAGTGAGTAGCTGTGTGAGATAACAACCCCACCAGATATGCCTCACCAGACTGCTGATGAAAATCTCCTTATATTACCTTGATGTCATCCATTACCTTTAAGAAATATTTAATGTGGACTGACAAAACCAAAACAATAATTCTTATTCCACCTCCATTAAATGGAATGGGACCGAAATAAACAAGTGACCAATGAAGAGAAATATTTAGGAAGCCAATGAGAGCTAGATGTTCTGGTCAGGAGCTGGCAGCACAAACACCTGGGAATAACCGACACACGGCTCTCAGATCACTCTTTTCACACCAAGAAATATGCAAATACAGTGTGTTTAGTAAGAAGAAAGTAACGGCCAGGGAATCAATCGGTACAAACACCATGCTCTTAGGAACCCGATTGGTCAATTAACAGAAAATCAATCAGAAACGACTGATATGAATGAACAAACATTTCAGGCATTTTTCAGCCAAAAATTCCAAATGTTCTCTGGTTGCAGCTTCTCCAGTGTGAGAATTACTGCCCTTCTTTCGCTTATGCGATAAAAAAACATAATATATTTACATTTCAGATGGCTGGCAAACAATAAAAAGTATATTATACAAACAATT